CAATTGCTGAAAAGCTGTGGGCCGAGGGCAAAATGAAGAATCATCCCGAAAAGGTTGGGGAAAGGGGGCTTCTGGGTTGCGTGGAGGGCATGGAAGAATTGCGCCGGGGTCAAGTGAGCGGAGTGAAGTTAGTTTACCGAGTTGATGAGACTCCCTGGCCGTCATAAGTGGAAATACTAATGTGGTATCGTGAGGGGTATGAGTTGAGTCTTGGGGTAGTAGCTGACAAGCGCATGGAATTCGAGCTCATATATAACGTGATTCTATCTGATCCTCAACAGCGATAGATAGACAGACTACGGGAATTATGATGGCGAAATTGATAGAATGGGCCATCATGGTGGGAGTAGACATTATCTCTCTGCTCAGTCTTTAAATGATAGCTTTCAAACTACCTAGGTAATGATAGGAAGTAGGAAGACAAAATAAAGCAACCCAGTGAAAGTCATACCAAGAGGTATTCATACTTGGCACTTTTGAATCAAGGGAGATAGGGTCTCCGCTGTCCACGATTATTACGCCTTGAAGTCAGACTAGGACTGATGGAATGACCCTGTCCTTCGTGAATGGTTTGTGAACCTCTGCCCAGGTGGCACATACCTACCAGTCCAGCCAACGCCCTGAGTCCCGTCCTAACGCAGGTTTCTGGCGTCTAAAGATGGAAACAGGACGTAGGATTTAAAAATTGACATGGTCCGTATTGTTTACGGATTCCTACATGCTGACCCTGAGCCCTCGTTTATCTCCGATTAGATTACTCCCTCTTGCTATTGAGCGAGTATCTTGTTACTAGTACACTACTGGTTAAGAGCCTAAGCTTCGAGCTAGAGCCGCGTAATTCAATACTTGTGCTAGCGGGAGGCAGCGACTTACGACAAGGGTTGAAGCAAGGATTACCGGAGATTCAGTAAGCAGTATAGCTAGAATCGATTAATTGGCAGAGCTAGCAGGAAAAACAAGGATGATGATAAAACTGAGAAATGTAGTTGGGAGGATGGTCGGCTTAATTCTTGGCATGAAAATCTGATAATAATGATATGGTAACGTAGAAATCGTATGGAGATGTAGGACTCGTATGGTCAACTAATGCGTAATCAATAGTGCACCTAGATTGGTCACAAAAATTCACTGCATTAGCAAGGTCTAGTCTGAGTTAGGTCTGGCGGTACGTAATTTAACATGTTAAGGGTGTGCAGAGTAGAGGGCAGATTTACGATAAGAACTGACTCCGAAGGTAACTTTTCATAGCCAATCTAGGTAGGCTAGTAATCAATGAGACTTCTCATATGTTTATTAGCGATAGCTCACGTATTCTACTATATTTAATTCGTCTTAACTGGAAAGGAAGTGGAGATCTTGGATACTTCCGTACTTATGGTATAGCATACGCACAAGCCCCTTTATCTTCTCGATGTTGTATTCTTAGGGTATTCTTAACGTGAGTCTATATATATGTTACAATGTGGTCGTTGCAAACTAGCGGGGAAGAAAGCATGTCTATTATTTATCATCCAGCGAGCTAATCAAACCTGACATCTACTTGCTCGCCTATGCAATGTATATCCCCTCGTCAGTAACAGTACAGTCAGTGCTTGCAACACTCGTTGCAGGAACATGCGCCTACATTATTTATCAATGCGTCTTCTCCGCTCTCGCCGTTTTTCCTGGTCCATTCGCTGCCAAACTTTCTAAAGGATGGCGTGCTTACGTGACATACAGAGGTCGCTGGCACCGGGACTTGGTCGCCCTCCATCGGCGTCATGGACCCGTGGTAAGAATAGGACCAAACGAACTGTGAGTGGCATACTACCGAAGGGTTCTGCGCAAGCTGGCGCATGAAGAATGCTATGTTGATGAGGTCTATTAGATCTGACTGTAAATAGGAGCGTCATTGACCCAGAAGCTTTTCTCCAGATCTACAGTAAGTAGTACAAGTACCGCTCTCTGACCTCTTACATGGGAACGGCGTGAGTAACGCCGTATGTTTCCTGTAGGGGTGAACGGGGCATATTCCAAGTCGGCTTCCTATTCTGTGGTAAAGGGCGCCCGACCTTTTGACTTGGCTGGCGAACGCAGTGAAAAGATACATTCCGCGCAGCGTAGGCTCGTAGCTAGGGCTTACTCCATGGAGTCGACAATGCATTTGGAAAAGCAGGTTGATGAGCTTATTACTCCGTTGCTAAAGAAGTTTGACGATGTGGCCTTCTCGAAGCACACTATCGATCTTGGGTACTGGCTGCAACTCTTCGCCTTCGATGTGATAGGAGCTGTCTCCTTCTCTAAGCCCTACGGATTTGTCTCCTCGGGGTCCGACTCATTGGGGTCAGACGAGAGCTTCTTCGCCAGACTCGCTTCTTCCCTGCACAGTGCCGCATGGCTGATGCACGCCGGGTGGTTTTTCAAACTTCATCAGAAATTAGTCATGCCGCTACTTGGCAATTTCCTAGCTGTCAACGAAAGGAACGGCTTCTTCTTCCATTTTGCTCAACGCGAGGTGCAGACACGGAAAGACCAAGGAGGAAACGAAAAAGATATCGTGGGTCAGCTGTTCCGGGTACAGCAAACTAAGAAAGAACTGTAGGTGTTTCGAGAAACTATAAGAGAACGACTCAATCCTTGAAGGTGAAGACTAACCATTTGTTTGCTTTTGGCTAGTGATGATCTATCCATTGCATACATGATGACTTCGAACGTTTTTGCAGGTTCTGATACAACCTCCATCGCTCTTCGTGCTATTTTTCTCAACCTGATACGCCACCCCCGTGCCCTAGCCAAGCTCCGTTCCGAGTTACAGGGGCGCCAGACTACAGGGAAGTTGAGTTCAGTTGTCACTGCAGCTGAAGCAGAAGCCTGCACATTTTTACAGGCAATTATCTACGAGAGTATGAGGCTGTTTAGCCCCGTCGCATTCATGTTCGATCGAGATGTGCCGCTTGAAGGGATGACTATATGTGGGCATCATGTGCCCGGCGGTGTAAGTACATGGGCTTCATTTGCACATCTTTCGATCAAATACATAAGGCTGCTACACAGTAGTAAGAAGACCCAGAAACTAACAGGGATGTATACAGACTGTGGTTGGAACTAGTCCATGGGCTATACACCTGTCCAGCCAGGTTTGGGGCGACGATGTAGAAGAGTTCCGGCCTGAGAGGTGGTTGGACTGTGAAGACCCCGGAGCTTTAAGTAGGTCAACATGTGGATATAAGCAAGCAAGCTGTAGCTGACAATATTCTTCTTATTAGGGCGCTTCTTTTTTGCGTTTGTAAGTATTTCCATATCCCGAGGCCTTTGTTCCAATCTAGTCACTTTCAGATCAAGAAGGCCATTCCTCTTCCCACTCGAGCGAGAATAATTTTAGAAAAATTCCAGTCTCCTTCAAAGAACATGGACTTGTCACTCTCAAAGTAGGCCATGGCTAACTCTAAGTAAGGGCGGTGGTACTAGAACATGCATTGGTCGCAGTAAGTCATTATATTCGTAAATTTTCAACTGTCAGAGGGTTACACCATGCTTAAAATTCAATTATTGACACCTTTCGGGACTCAAGATATAAGTTGGCTCGAAATCGAGAAACTTGTCCCCACCCTTGTGATGCGGTATGACTTCAAACTCGCTGAAGACGCTAGGATAACGGAGGACAGTGGGCAAGTTATCACGCATCTATTCCCTCGTAAAATAGACTAACAATGAACTTTAGTGCCCTTGTATTTCTTAAGGGCTTACGGGTGCAAATCACTCGCCTAGCAGACTAATGCCGTAACGGAGGTAGTCAAATGACTGGAAGGTTGAACGTGCTGTTAATACGTTTGTCGGCATCTGTTCTTCTGCCCGACATCCCATCTCCTCGATAATTGCAGCAAATTGTTTGACATGCGAAGAAGTCAAGTCCGAGAATACACCTTTCTAAACTTGTCCATGCCTCTCCGGATCGACACCAACCATAGCAGCGGCCATTAGGATGTCTCTGACATGGGAGGTGCCATGCTCATTGAGAAACTAATGTTGGGCGCCATCAAAGTTCTCAAAGGGATGAGAGCGCAACACAAAAGTACCTTGTTGTATTTAATACCAATCTCGAGGCGCTGCCGGTTCCGTGCTACGATAATGACGTTAGCTCCCTTCTCGGTGAGTTGGCTACCAATTTCATCGTCAAAGCCACGGTTGGCTCCGGTAATAAAGTGCAATCAATCTACATATACAGAGAAAAAAACAGGATCAGCCGAAGTGATAGAACCTTGAGGATGCATTAGGAACATACTCGCCCTTGCACATGGAAATGAACATACGAAAAGTACGCCCCCATTATGATATATCTTGGCATCAAAATGGAATGAAAATGAATTATTCTCCCGTAGAGTACGTACGTTCTCAGGGAGTCTGTACATGCTACAGAAAACTACCTAGTAACCCATTTTCCCCAACCACGCTGTGATATCGGGTGCAAAGAAGGATATTTGTAGGGCCATATTGATATGCACTCCTTGCTCCTGAACAGTGCTATACTCTGACTGCTTCTTCCACGTGCTAGAGTCTAGAAGCCCCAGACTAGGGATCAGAGGATACTGTCACATTGCATGAATTTTTAAGATTTCATCTACCTGAAAAGATGCAATGCGTCCGAGTATAGACGTTGCTGCCTAGGACTAGGAAGTGACCCTCAGTACTGACAGTATTGTGTTGGAGGAGTTATCTATGTTCGACAAGACGTCTTCTACCATGTACGAGACTGTGGCTCTTAGCGTAGGAGAAATATACCGGTATTCTCGGTTCTATGCATGATCCAGATGCTTTCACACCTATCGCAAGACTGATAAATCGGTACGACATGGCCTCTGCTGACTCATCGTGACGGTGCGGCGGGACTACCACCATGAGGAATGAAACCCCTCACCTTAATGATCTGTATGGCTCCACTATAGGATAGTACCTACTACAGCTGGGGGAAAAGGGGGGGATTTATTGTTTATTTATATTTTTTAAGAGCAAAAAAGAAAAGTTGACGTGAGCGAGGTTCGAACTGAATGTATATGTTAGTGACTAGCTTATTCCACTTTGTGCATAAATCGGTCGTACCTCGCGCGGGTCTCCCCAACAGAATTTCTGATTGTCTTAAACCTGTCGCCTTAACCACTCGGCCATCACGCCAGAAATATGCATTAATCGCCAGTTTCGTAATATTCTGCCTATATCCTCGATTCAGAAGCCCCATTGAAGACCTACCAAACTCGCACCTAGCTGACAGTTGCAGAGCCATGGAATAACATAGTGGCTAGAAAATATCTATCGCTAGAAATTATTCTCGCCGCTTTATTGAGCTTCTTCTGCTTGAGCAACTCTTAATGTGCGCCCGACTTATTTTTATGTACTGTATACTAGCCACAGGCATTACAAGTTTAAACACAAATTGTTTTTGTGCTTAGAGCCTGAAATACCGATATCACCACAAGCGGTTGTAACTACGTTACCCATTTAGGGGGCGTTAGCATAGTCGCCAACTCCGTCGCTTTCTTCGTCATGAAATACCACCGCCCTCTAAAAGAGTTGCTATATTACATCTAGTCGGGGGAGCGGTCGGAGTGAATATCCCAGCGGCCCATCTGGAGGCCAAGGGGATTCAAGCTACTCACTGCACGCTAGAAGATCCGTTACCTGGAATAGTGCAAGCTGTGATCTCATTTCTCGATTCCACAGCTCTATCTCTCGTGAATATTTTGCAGTTGTCATACTTGTGATAGGTTTTGATAGCTTCTAATGTAACCATACCTCCGTTCAGTCCAGTTATGTTGTTAGATAACGAGCGATTGAGAGGTAATAAAAAAAACAATAACGGTACTTTCACTGGTAGTGGTTGCATTTAAGGCATACTTAATAAGTTTTGTTATTAATAAAATCTAACATAGGTAGAGGGGAATTTAGGTCGCCTACACTAGAAACCCATCCTGCCCCTGAGGTCGCGGCGTGGCTTGAGTATCTTTCTACACCACTATAATATAGAAACATCCCATCATGATATAAACTCACGCATGAAATGGAACCGGCTAAGACCACATTATGCCAACGATGTGCATCTCCCATATCTGTTCTCGATTTTGGCTCTAATACCTCTACTGTAAAGGTTAGTGCTTGAAAAGCAGTCTGTGAACAAGCTTTCAGGGGTTGAACCACTTCAATCAAACTGTACACCAGAGAATTATTTTCCCCCATCGACCTTGGCTACATGCGCGACAAGGTCTAACAGACGACGACTATAGGCATACTCGTTGTCGTACCAGGAAACCAATTTGACGAAATTGTCATTGAGGGAGATCCCGGCCTTAGCATCGAACACAGACGAATTAGTATTGCCAATCAAGTCCCTTGACACGACTTGATCCTCGGTGTAACCAAGAATACCTAAAGAGTTTAGTAGGTGACACATCGCAGTGGCTAAACTGAACGTACCCTTGAGACGACCCTCTGCAGCCTCTTTAATAGTAGCCTTAATTTCGTCATATGAAGCACCCTTCTCAAGACGACACGTCATATCAATGACTGAGACGTCCGAGGTAGGGACGCGCATAGAAAGACCGGTAAGTTTACCATTGAGATCGGGAATCACCTTGCCCACGGCTTTAGCCGCACCGGTGCTGCTCGGGATGATATTGGCGGCAGCAGCACGGCCACCTCGCCAATCTTTTGCAGACGGTCCATCAACGGTCTTTTGTGAAGCAGTATAGGAATGGATGGTAGTCATCAGACCTTCGACAATAGTATACTTGTCATGGATCACCTGATCAAGAGGACGTCTCAGCACGACAGGAATTGTCGGTCACGATGTATTGATGAATGCTTACTTTGGCTAATACAGCGAGGGCATTCGTGGTACATGAGGCATTCGATATGATGTCGACTGTCCCGTTATAGGCGTCTTCATTGACACCCATAACGTACATGGGGGCGTCAGCCGATGGCGCGGAGATAATGACCTTCTCTGCAACATTCCAAATGTTAGAATTAGGGCTTCTGGTAGAAGTTGGGCTCACTTCGGGGCTGTAAGGAGGAGATAGGAGGTGACGCTTTGCTATAAAGGAAAACGAAGGACTGGAGGTTGCGTACTGGCACCACCCTGCAGATGAGCTTTGGCTTTGTCGATGGTCGTAAAAACACCGGCAGATTCAACAATGTAGTCGGCGCCGGAGTCCTTCCAGGGGATGGCAGCAGGATCCCGCTCTTGCGTAAATTTGACAAGCTTATCATTAATGATGAGACCCTTGCCCCCAGCATCCACTGTAACAGTTCCTTTGAAAGTGCCGTGAACCGTATCGTACTTCAACATGTATTCGGCATATTTAGTGTCGATAAAGGGGTCGTTGACTGCGACGACTTCGACGCCCGGGTGCTCGACGGCGTTACGTAAGACGAGACGGCCAATACGGCCAAATCCATTGATGCCGACCTGAACAACCATGTTATCTCTTCGCGCGGGGGTGCTATGCTGATGAACTTAAGAATAAAAGCGGTGACGCCGGAAGTAAGATTGGATTCGACGGGAATGTACAATCTATGTCTGATGGAGAAAGTTTAGGGCGTAGTATTTCGATGAGGATTTGAGTGGCTCTCTAGTGTCCGTGTAGAACAATAAGTCCTCGAACAGAGAGACATAGGGCAAATTGGTCTTATACCACGCCAGGGAACCAGCTGTGCTTAATAAACAAAGGTGGCGTTTCACCTTAATAAGCAGGAATGATGCAGATGACTCGATAATAAAGACTCATCCATCACAGTCCTGTAAGCGTGTGCACGTAATAATGCGCGCAGGCAAGCCAATAATTTTACCATGAGTTTCTGCGAGTGGATATAATTTGCCGCAACTGCGTCATTTTCCTTCTTCATTCGCACTCTCCATAATCCGACGTGTCGGGTCGGTACTCAGTAGGCACATTCGAAATATGTCGCATTAGCAAGATGAGTGATTGCTCCGAACGACATCGGAGGATAGGTATCGCAGTTGAGAATATTATTCTAGGCATTGAGATTGCCGGATTACTGCCGGTTTGGGTAGTTTTACAACTAGTATTAGGCCTCGACACTAACACAACTAAGTATAACTACCTACCTACCTAGATATAATGATTCTTACATAACGACACCTTATTGCCGCAATGATCGCATTACGTTATGCTGTGCTACCAAGTGTTACTAGAAACGGCCGTTCTACAGCGGAAACGAGGAATGGAAATTGGTAGTAGTATTTGGACATTATTCAAATATTAGAACGAAAAGAGAGAGACTAGGCTCATTGTCACCGCTCCGACTGTTGGTATCTCCATTATTGACTATTTTTATTGAAAAGGGGATGAATTTGATCTGTACTAGCAAAGACTGTCTCAGTAGTATATATAGAGCTAGCATTGGTCTATGCAGTTATTCCAAGATTAGGTCTTGCATAGTCCCATGACATTCATGATTATAAAGATTGAGAATCACCGTAGGTAGAGGGAAGCTGTTGTACTTTCGACGGACCTTTGCGGGAGCCCCTATAGTGCTGAGTTTCGGTGGACTTTCCTACACAGGGTGATAGGCATTTTATGACTCTGTTGGTGTAACGAGGGGTGTCTTTAAGGCTACAATGCTTTGACGACGTGACTAAGGCTCCTCCAAGAACTCGCTTTAAGTTCAGCTTCATTGACCGTCGTGCAGCCTTTAAGCAGTTCGAACCCTACACCGCGTTCCCGGATGATCTCTCTTACGCTGAGGGTATTGTCAGGGGTTTTGATCACAGAGTGAGAGGAAGCCTGACAAGAAGCATGTTCAAAGGGAGTACGGGGTTTAGGTCTCAATCCCATTCATTCCTAGCGATCTCTAGCTATGGCTGGTACCTCCAATTTATATATGCCAGGGAATTTCGTCCCAGAGTGAGAGATAGCACTTAGGTAGCAGTTAAGGGGTTGTAGATATAGCAGATATATTGACTCTGCTGAAAGTGTAGGTGGTCAAGTAGTCACTTCATGTACTGTACGGATCTCAGGGGCTACGCAAGGAACAATGAAGGTCGTCATGTATATAAGTGTTGTCATAAGTGGATACAGTACACTCCACACCCTTGGATTATGTAAATATATCACCTCTTCCCCTTTGACCTCTGGTCTTATTCCTTACTTCTAATTATCCTGAATACAACTCACCTATCTGCTATATGTACTCTTCTCCATACCTTTGATAATAAGGGAACCTTCCCGCCCCACTTCATCAAGTAGATCAGTTGAATGCAACCCTCATATACCTACTCTTTTGATAGATTCCTGGGCCTATATATATGTAAAACTACCCCTGTCTAGTCCCTAACAAATAGATAGACAAGAAAAAAACAGGATCACAAAGATCATGTAGAAAGCACAAATTGCTATACAAGCGTGCTGCACCAATCGGTAAGGTGCGGGAAAAGTTTACCAGCCCCCAGCAGCATCGCAGACCTGGGTAGCAAGAGGAATGCGTTGAGCATAAAGATTTCCAGCCTCAGCCTTCTGCACAGCTTGGTCGAGGGCCGAAACCTCCATGGTTTGCCATCCGGAGATTGTAACCATAACCGCCAGGAACTGGCTGGTGCTGCCAGCAGCAGACATGTCTTTCGCAATATCTGGGTACCACTCAGGTCGCTGCTGGAACATACCTGTTGCAAAAAACATATTAGTAAAAGCATGCTCTCTCTTCGTCCTTATACGGACGACGGGTCGATGCATAGGATAAAACTTACCAACGCTATCTTGGTCTCCGCCTACGAGATCATGGGGGTAGTTCAGAGACGCGGGAACAGCGTTGTTGGCATAGATGTGCAAAGTGGACTCCTGAAGGGCAGTGCTGATGACGGCAAGACAAGCCTGTCGGTTGAGACCCTCAGCGCGGACCTCACCTATGGCGGCAGCGGCATTACGGCTTTGAACATCGTCGAGACCCGGGTAGCTTCCGCTCCCGCCGCCGCTGCCGCCACCACTGCTGCCACCACTGCTGCCACAGTATTCAGTACCGGTACCGCAGTAGCCATACTGAGAGCAGCAGTATCCAGCGGGACATTGAGCCGCGCTGGAGCATTCTCCTGCCCTGGCAAAAAGGAGGCTGCTGGCAGTGTACTGGGGGGCAGCAGCAATGGTCGAGGCGAGGGCGCCGAG